TCATCAATTTAATTACACAAGAAAGAAATATAGAAAAGATAAGAAATATTCTTCTCTGTTGCTATTCTCTTCGATCCGTTCTATGTTCCTTAACTCACGATCTGCTCTCTTGCCTTAGGTTTTCCCGCAGCCACAATTTATGTCCCCAGTACAAGCCAAAATCTCTCCTTTATGTATTACCCCCCAAAGCCACGTCACCACCCCCTTTTCTTTAGGAATTAAGTGACCCTTCTATTTATCATTCTCCCAACATAAATTCGGGCCTACTTGAGCAGCAATATATCCAGCCCAACATACTTTATTTTCTTAAGTGAAGTGCATGGGCTTCATTAAACAGCAGAGTATGGGGGGTATTTTCTCTGTTTTAGCCGAATATGAGGCACCCCCGTATTGCTCTTAAACGTAGATTTCCGAGCTTGCATCTTTGCCTCCAATATCGCCTGCTAGAGAAACTTGCAAAAATACTGAAAAACACTAAAACAACTCATCAAGGCGCAAGAGTCATACATAGAATCAAATAAACTGAAAAATGAACAAGTGCGAATAATTCTACGTGCAAACTCACAACATTAAGCTATTAATACGAGCACGTTTTTCAACTAATCAAACCACCCCACACTTGAACTATGCTTGCCCTCAAGCATTAAGCCAAATATGTCATATCAACTTGTAATCACACCCTTTTCCTCCTCCCTAGCCAATTCAAAATCATTTTACACACAAGAAAACAAGATATGGTGGAACCCTTATATACCGACATCAATGACCGAGAGTCTCAACAATCAATCAATAATGCAAACGAGGATCAACACATCTCACAAGGTACGCTCAAACACTCCAATGTGTATAGGCCCAAGATATATATATAAGTGAACGCTCACGTCAAGACATAGAAAATCTTTACCATATGTTTGCCAATGCATCACGCCCTACAACTCGAGAATGAACATAACTCCACAAAAATCAAAAGGGTTTATCACAAGGTTGTAAATGCGGGTACGGGGAATGGTTTGAACTCGAACAGGTGATCAGAATAGAATATCAATACGAATCAAAGCAATAATGCAAACCTTGTCCGAAAAGAGCTTGAACCACAACACTCCCCACCTCAAATGACCACTAACTGTATATCACAAACTAATGAACACTCCACGGGAAATTCTTTCAATCGGCCACTCAAAACTTGCGGGCCCCACCTCCAAACAAATGTATCACAGAACATCTTTTCTTCTTCTCTTTTTTTTTTTTTTTTTTTTTTTT